ACAAAATTCTCTTTTGGTATAATATAAATTTGGCGGTTCTTTTAACTCTTTATGTTACTAATTTGATTTCCTTTAATTTATTATGAGTTTACTGCAAAATGCTTACTTGAGTTAAAAACAAATTGTAAAATCCTAATATGACTTTAATATAAGGAAAAAAAATTAATTAATTAATTAATGAAATTAAGAGTAGAGCGTCTCAATACCTTTACCTTGATACTTGATCTTCCTATTGCCTTAAATATGGTACATGCAATACTCATGATGTACATCAGGAAAAACTTCAACGATACCATTTATTAAAGATGGTCCCTGATCGGTTACAAATGCAAGGTCCTTAACATCCCCGGTTACTTCCCTCAACTTTGTGAAGAATCATCGCATAGACAGATCATTCTCACTATTGACTATGCCGAATGCAAGATGGTAAATTTGGATGTTGACACCTTAACATGTAGCGATAATCAACTTGCCTTGATATTTAGATTTCAGTGTTGTACCATCAACTAGAATTAGGGGACGCATTGCATTTCGAAATCCCCGAATGTAATGTCCAAGAGCCATGAAGAAGAATTTGAAGCAATTCTCACCCTCCGTCTCATTAAAAAATTTCGAGCCAAGATTAGTTTTTTCCATATTATGGCAATACCAAACCAATTTAGAACAGCTTTTCTCTACAAAGCCCATTAAATCCTCAAACGCGCATTCTTTGGCCTTCCAGGCCTTCTGGTAGCTCAAAACTATTCCGTACTCTCAATGGACGTCGTTAATGATGTTCGATGGTCTGTAGATCGTACGTGAATCCTGATACTTGTACATTATCTGTCAACCAATAACCCAAACTCGTGCTTGCCTGCGATTATTTCGACGTAATTCCACTTCACAAGTATGTTCTTGTATATACTTGCGAACTACAAAGCACTCATTCATGTTCATCTTCGTCTCTCGCAAACGTCAACAGCAACTATCGTCTACGCAGGCGATTGTCAACAACTTATTCGATTTTCACTTTGAACTTAAAGTTATATTTCAGTGCAATTAACTGCATAGTTTTCTACAAATCTTTTTTCATTTTAAACAATTGCTTGACATACAAATCATTACTATTGGGAACATCCCGCGAGGAGTTAGATGATGGTTCACTCGATCCAGCCCCTGAGGTCCCAACCAGCTCATGTCTCGGTCAAGATAAAGCGATCAAATCCTCATCTGTAAAAGTATCTGCATTTTCACACTCATTGTAGTAAACTACACAGGGAATTCTGTGAGTGATTATATCCAGAATAACCACACATCTTCACGAGTTATCTAGACCATATCCCAAAAATCATTAACACTGTGATCCCCTTCATCCGAGTCTACTTGTTCATCTTCACTAAAGTCATGCATATAGGAGTCGGGTGCTTATTGTTCAATTCAAACAGATAATTCACTTCGACATCAGAAGAAATCGTCATAGGTGGAATCAGAACATCGCGCTCGCTAAATTTCAATTTCAATTCTGTCATACTGGGAGAGATCGACATTCAACTTGTTCTGTAAAATATTATAAAGTTCTGCATATGATGTACTTGATGTTATGAAAATTGGAATATCACTACGTTTATCGCTCGTCCATTTTCATACCCATTGATCTCTTTCGGCCAATTAGAAATCACCAAAGTAGTTTACTAGGACTGCAACCATATCTGCATAACGAAACAAAATTTTTAATTAAAAAAAATATCGAAGGCAATAAAAATAGCAAAGAAAAAACAGCCGACTGGATGGCAATCTTTTCTTACGGCCAGCTGTTAAAATCGACTGTCCAACAGATAATACTAATAAAATCATATACATAAGAGTTTTTCCTAGTCAAATACTTACATTTTTCACAGATCCATTAAAAAAATTATCTACATTAATATGTCAAAATAAATTTTATCGATTAAGATGTACAACAATTTAACAAAAACAAAATTTAATATGCGTATTTTATATTTACCGATCTGATGAAATTGATATAAAAGAATTTTCAACTACCGTGTTCGATAAATTTTTCAGTTTTTGAGGTTAGATCAGATGAAAGATGAGAGTATTTCTATCTATGTTGGAATAAACAGATAAGAGAAGTTAGTTGGTTTTGATATTTTAAGTGGGAAGTGTTTGATTTTGATTTTTATTTGTTAACTGAAGAGTAGTAATGTCTTTTAAACAAAATCATCTTTTGTAATTATATAATGTACTTAAGGGTATTTTCGTCTTTTATCAATCAATAGGTCATTGCCATAATATTCCTTTGTTAAGGAGTCAAATTGGAATTTCGTAGGTTTGACTTGGCCATTTTTAAAGGTATACCGTGATGATTGTATTTCAAACGTCGAAAGTCCTACATCAGAGGTTCTTTTAGAATGTCAAATCGATTGTTAAAATGTCAAGTTTTGAATAAAATGAATATTTTATTCAAAATAAGTAATAAAGAAAATTAAAAAAAAAACAAAAATAACCTATTGTTCTTATCTCCCAACCCATCCCCACCCAACTCACCCACTATCAATCATTCATCTTTTTTCAACTTTATTGTCATTTACAGACAATGGTTATAAGCAACTATACGTGAGTTGATTTCGCACATCACATAACCGAAAGAGGTTGAAATTTGTGTAACTCAAGAAATGGGACATTTTTTTTCTATTAATTGATTCTTATCTAAAATCAAATTAAGCAATGACAACACAACTGCATTGCACTTTTAATTTCCCAATACATCCAATGTTAAGTACTCAGTGGATACCTATTGTGAAAAAATCATAAGCTAAATCTTTATTGTACCTCGTACATTGTCGATTCTAGCATGTCTTAGATTTTCAATTTTTGGTATGACGCTACTTACAGTTCTATAATCCCAACCTCCCCGAAAAATTTAACAATAAAAATATATAATTTAATGGTTTGAGGTGAATACTTTTAGTTCAAGAATTTTGTTTTTGAAAAATGATTTGAGGCGAACTACTTCGTTTACGAACTGCACACCTAGTGCAAGGGCAAGTCAGAGAAAACAATGCAATGTTTCATGATTTCAATACATGGTAATTCTAACACAAGATTCTCCAATTGAATTAAAAAAAGGTTGAACCCCAATTTTGAGGGCTCCCACTACCCCGCCCCTAAAGTTTTGTGAGGGAGGTAAATCATGAAATGTGTCCTAACAAGTCAGGGAGCAAGAGCTGTCTGTACACTGCGCCTACAAGAAATCAAATTTCATGTCTCAGGAATTGAACCCCCACACTGCGGCTGCCAACAAAGCGTAAAATAACCTCACTCCCATCCTTTGCACCACTGAGCTATGCCCCGAGGGACGATTCTCCAATTGAATTAGATTCGTGAGATAGTGTTCAATGAGATAAATTGAATTCTTAAAATTTTCATTATTGTTCAATATATCCATTCCTTCACGTGCTTTGCAAAGCCCCAAGAAAAAGGGTGGAGGATATAAATTTCAAACATTTTAATGTTTCACTTGCACCTTCAACTTTAAGGATCTACTTCTATTTCGTACTAGATAATGCACAACAATGCATCCTTTTGTGGTGTGGTGGGGGTGTGGGTGGAAAAAGATGATGGTTATATCTATTTTATTTTTGTGTTTTTATTCATTTTTCTTTTCTTTTCTTTATTTATTTGTTTTAGCTCAAACTAAGTGTAAATAGGTCATTTTGTATAAATTTTACATTTTAAACGATTGATCAATTATTTCTTCATACAAAGAGAACCTCCGACACAGTTAAATGTTCAAAATTTCATCATCACAATATTCAGATGATCGGGATCCCAGAAGCAATTTATCTAAATAATAATGTCAAGGCTGTCCGTGCAATCTTGGTATGAAATCCCTAATCTGCCCTGTATGATGTCTTGCCTTTCTTTAACTTTTGTTATTATTATGTTATAGTATGTTGCCATTTGACAATATCAAAGTATAGATTTAAAAATTTTAAACAATAATATGATGCCATGATCGAAATTGGGTAGTATGAAAGGAAAATGTAATTGTCATTTGAATTTGATAAATTTTTAATTTCTAGACTTTGCAAAAGCAAGTGTTTGCGTTGAACAGATTGATTGGCATCACAATAGCTGGTATCAATTGAAAAACAATGTAAGACCATCAAAATTTCTAATCCTTTTTAAGGTCATTATTCATATTTCATAGCAAGAACAACACTCAAAGTAGAAATAGTATCACTTTCAAATTTAATGGCCAAATTTTTATATAGATATTACATAGACTCATATTTTATCACAAAACTTTGTGCTATTGGATTCTCCACCATCTCTTTTGTTAACATGTAATCATATCTATTGAGTTTGTCCCTCGACTTACGATGTTTAGGACAACATTCACCTTTAACAGAACATTGACCTCTCCAGAGAATACTAAGACGTGCATTAGAATAGGTTGGTCTTTATATGTGGTCGACTTCATCTTGTTTAATACAACACGTTGCTATTAAGTCTTATATACGCAATTCCATGTATTTCTTGGACAATATCCATTATGATTAGTGTAGCATGGTTGTCGCCGAAATAATAGATTAACTTATGGACTAAACTCCTATCACTATACCAAAAATGGTTATTTGCAATACATAAAAGACAACATTCAGTAGTTAAATGTTGCTAAAATGGTCTATTGCAATATTTTCATAAGTGAATATTGCAACTAGTTAATGTAATTGAGTTTTGGCAACTTTTTTAAAATAAATATTGTCAATGTTAATTTTTGCAACGTTTTTTGAATGTTGCAAAAAGTTTTATTTTTCGCAACGTTTTTTTAAACGTTGCGAAAAGTCTAAATTTTTGCAACGCTCAAAAAATGTTGCAAAATATGATCTTTTGCAACATTTTTTGAGCGTTGCAAAATACAGTCTTTTGCAACATAGAAGTGTTATTTTGTAACAATTTTTTTGAACGTTGCAAAAGGCGAAAGGAAATCAAGTGCTAGCTCATTTAAAGTGCAATTCGCAAACACGCCTTAGCCCATTGAATTGAAACCTTTAGCTCTCTCCCCTCCAAACAATCCTTTATGTCCAGATCCGTGAATGAACCCTAACCCCCAAATCGATTATGCTCCACAATCGAAGGAGAAAATGTTAGAAGTAAAGGAGCTTCATCGAGCCAAACATGATGAAACTTTTCAGTTCATGCTTCCCCTGATGACGGGCTGCAATTTGAAACTGATGAATAATGGACCAGCAGCTTCCATGCCTATGACAAACCAGATGCATCAGTTCTGGAGAACGGCTCTACTCATGCCAACGAAAATACTGTTTACGATGCTCAACATCCCTGCAGGTATCAAATGTGCTTACTTTTCTCTGGGCTGTTCTTCTCTGTTCTTTTGGGTTAGGGTGAAATTTCTTGTTAATCATCGAAATCCTTTTCGTTCGAAAATGGTCACTTTGCTTTCTAAAACGTTTGAGTTATGTCACCTGGTTAGTTAGTCTGCCGTACATTAAGGTTGAAGGTGGTGATGGCAATGACGTTTATGCTTCAACAGAAAGTAATGGTACTAATCTGGGGGTGGTTCTGAATTGCACAAATTTAAACAGCTGGTCTAAAAATTAGAGGAGAAAAATGCTCTATCAGATTTCCCATTAAGACATGCACATAATTGTTTTAATAATGGATGGCCAACTAACGAGATGACTAAAGTGAAACGATTGAGGTAAATTGACCATTTTGGAAGAATATCAAGTTCAGGCAACATGAAGTTTTGCCCTATGTACAGTGACAATCAGTATATTTTACCCTATTCTTAAGTTTTCCAATTGAGTGGGTTATACTTGATGTCAGTGACCATAAGTTTTATTGCAAGAGCTGACCAGACATGGATCAAAGTAATTAGAACATGCATTTTGCTACTTTCTTCAACTCCCTCTATATGTTCTTCCCTTCTTCTGTGGATTTGGAAAACATTAATTTTCTCTCTGAAGCTCTCTTTTTTTGCAGTTGCAGTTCTTACTGTCACACTTGGGATGTATTTCAGTTTGCACATGCCTCCTTTAGGCTTCATTGCATTCAAAGTAATCTGGTCCTTCATGATAACACCCTGGAAGTTAATGATAAATTGGGCCCTAATCTTCTTGGGGAACCTCCAAATATTAGTGCAACTCTACCTGAGATGGGTCCCGAGGATGATGAAGAAAGCGCCTCTGGTGACCTTCCCGCTGTGAAGATATATGATGATGATATAAACATGAGGTTTCTTGTCTGTAGAGTGGCAAGTTCATTGGTAACTGAATCGACACCTTTTAGTTTGTCTTTCTTGTGCTCTTCTCCATAAGTATTTTTTTAACAATTCAATGTACCCTTGGATATTCTGCAATGGGATGACTTCCTTTTCAGGATGCTTTCTTATTGGGGTCTGTGGAGGATGGCCTCAATGCACTATTGGTTGGTTTGTGTGTGTGTTTCACGTTCTTCGACTATGCCATGTGATCTTTCGTAGCTTTCTTGATTGACTTCCGACAAAAGCTGCAGGTACAAATTCATCAATCCACACGTCAAACTGCCGGAATTTGACATCAATTCGCCAGAGAGTTTTGATATTCCTTTTTACTGGTGTGGAAAAGGAATAACCATGAGTAATGTTCATAATAGCATGGAGACTGTAAATGCTGCGGCAACTGCCATAATTACTGCTGAATCCAGAGTTCAACCATCTACACGATAGGTATATATAGATATATTTTTGGATGTGCTTGTGTGTAGAGGTTTTCATTTTGCTTCGCTTATTGCCTGGTTGATGTGATCTTTCTCGATTCGTACGAGTCTTATTTTTTTTACTGTTAAAATGAAATTGATGTGGTTTGCCTGTTGAGTTTCTTATTCGGGTTGTTGAATTTGAAGCTTCCTTTTTTACTATTTTTATTTTTATCGAAGGAAGAGGGAGGGAAAAGAGATTGGAGCTTTGATTTTTCAATACAATTCATTATGTTGTGGGAGAATTTTGGTAAAATCCAGACGACATTATAAAAATTCAAGAGATACTGTTTTGTAAACTAAATTCAATTTTTTAAAGCTAAATTTGACCTTGAATTGAGATTTGAAAGAATGAACTTTTGAATTATATGCATAATTAAGCTTGGACAGAAGTTTTTTGTTTCAGAGAAAACAATTTTTCTTAGTTGACTGTATTTGTAGAATTTTCAATTGAAGTGCATATAGAGATTGGGTCAATGTAATCCTTCTTCATCAATTTAATCATCGAAGCCAGTTCTTTTCTTTTAGATTTCACCTTTGGTTGAGAATAAGCTGTGGTTTCAAATCTGTTTTGTCATTTAACTCTGACAAATAACTCTTAAGCTTGGATAGAATAAAATTACAAATGATTTATAGCATGTTTGGGAAGTGTGTATATTGTTGAAATTATAAATATATAGAATAAGTGTTGGATAAGAGGGTAGTACTTGTGGGCTCTAGAAAATATGTACGTGGATATAAAGTAGTTTAGTGTTTATAAAAAATGAGTCAAACATAGGCTTAAAATAGGGATGTTAATAGGCTGAAACCAGCTCATCTAGGCCCACTGCATAAGCTGGCTCGTGCTACTATGGGGTGAGCCAAGCACGAGCCAGCTCATTTTAAAATTTTATGGCCGCCTAGCTCCTTCAAATGTGCTTACTTTTCTATAGTGCTAGCTTGAAATCTACCTGAGAATATGTTCTTGATGGTTTTGCATCCATGCCTGTGATTGTAATTCTGGTGAAAGTTTTAGAGGAAAGAGAGTTGTAGTTGTGGGATGTGGAAATTCAGGCATGGAAGTGTCTCTTGATCTTTGCAACCATGATGCAAAACCTACAATGGTTGTTTGGAGCTCGGTGAGTAATTTACACGACACATAACAGGCACTTTCATTCATCCATTTTCTTTCAAGAAAATTGAGTTCCATATTTAGATTCTAATGTGGTTTATGGGTTTTCGTTTTCAGGTTCATGTATTGTCAATGGTTCTTACTTATTTTTCTTTACTTTTCTTCTCGATTATAATTGGTACAAATGTCTAAAATGTGGTATCTATCTTTATCTCCTTTTTTTTATAGGCTAGGACCGATATTTAAGATACAGCTCATGTCGAAGATTGCTGAGAAGAAAATTAAGGAAGCCGATAAGGTGGTTTCACTCACTGCTTAGTTGGTGGGGCTTTTTTTTTTTTTTTTTTTTTTTTGAGAAAACGTATTGGATTTTTAAGCGTTTTAGAATTTTGGATTTGGATTTTGTACAAATATTGTTACATTTTAGAGTTCAATTAATAATGATTATTGGAGTTATTTGATAAAGTTATTTTTTATTATGTTTTGTGGTTGATATATGTGAATCACTCTATATATAAAAAATAAAAATAATAAATTACGGCAACGTTTGTTCAACGTTGCAAAAACTCTTCACTCATCGGCAATATCAACATTCGCAACACACGTTAAAACGCTGTAAAAGGTCTTTTGCAACATTTTTTGGCCGTTACAAAAACCATTTTTTGGTGTGGTGTATGCTATTTTGTAAAATATGATTCTATGGATTGTCGGGATAATTAGTTCCCAAATTACTAAGTTATGCATGATGGAACATCCAATATGATAATAATGTTAGATTTAAAAAAAAAATGATTATAATGTTGTGGGGGAGGGTGAAATGCCTTTATCATGACAAAATGTGTTGAGCTATAGTTTGTGTAAATGAAAACTTGTGAAAACAAAATAATTTTGCAAGATGATTGTATTTGAATAATATTATTTATTAGTTGAACACAACTCAACCATGTATCATTGCTTTGTAGGCATGAGCCTATAATTCTTGGTTAAATTTCTTCTATGTTTACTTTTAAATACATAGTACTTTGGATTAAAATTGAGGCATCAAGGTTGCCTCCTTTGTATAGTTATTGTTTTTATTTTTTTATTTTCTATTTTCAATTGTATAATGATAGAACTAATATTTTTGTTTGAGTTCTAGTTAGTCATATGCTGATTCATAAATGTTGTAACCCAATTTACTATTTTTACTTATATCATTTAACAATTTTTTAAACAGATTTCAATTGATAAGAACAATTTGAATTCTATATCAATTTAGAACAATTTCTTACATTTTTAGAAGTTTCACTACTTATATCTACAGAGAATCAATAGAGTAGAGTTCTAATACAAGTGAAAGTCATTTTCTAAATTTGATGTATGGACCTTGCTTGATAAATGCTACACAGGACTACTTTTTTATAACATAACTATTAGTTAAAGGACTCTAATATCCCATTCATATCATGTTGCCTAAAATGGTTGTCAAATGTGACCGTTATGAGATTTGATGTGATGTTTAGCATCATACAATTATGACTCTTATGAGTCTCTATTTTATATTATAGAGTCGTGATAAAAAAAATTGTGGTTCTCTGAATCGGATTAATGAATTTTTTTGTTCTTAGTAAAAATCAAGTGAACGATTCACTCTCCTTCTACATAGTAATAAAAAAGAGAACATACCATTAAATTACCATAATTTTGGGAACAGTATCAGGAAAAAAAAAACAAATTCCAAAACTTTTGAATTAATTAAATTCCTATATCTCTGATAATATTCGGTTGATCATTTTTTCCATTTTTTTTTTTAAGTTTATTACTTAATTGATTGAGGCACATTTGAGAAAATGATTAGTATTTGATAGAGCCCATTATGTTACATTTTTCATGGGAAAAATGCATATATAAGGTAGTTACAAAATACAATTTCTAAGTTAAGAAACTTGTTTTAAAGTTCCAAAAATCAGGTCATAATTCATATTTTATTAATTTAACAAATAATAAATATATTATTAATTAAATAGGTAATTAAATATATTAATGTTACAATATTTTATAAGTTATAATCACGGTTACGTAATAGTTACAATCACAAAATATCATAGTTACAAATAACAAATTTTCTAGATCTCAACTTATTTATCGATTACAAATTATAAAATTAATTGGTAATACATTACTTTTTTTTTTTAATCATAAAACACAAATTTTATAGGGCGTAACTTATTTATCTGTCACAAATTATCAGTTTTATAGGTCACGAGTTATTTTTCGATCATAAATTATTAAATTAATTGGTCACACACTTAATAAATTTGTGAGTCATAATTACGAATTTAGTCACAATCTCGCTATTTTCTGTCATATATTATTCATTAGTCAAATTAGCTATTTTATTATTATAATAACTCAAATAATTAATTACAAACGCTCTTCATCCATCCCACACCCACTCTATTTCACCACCCTCGGCACCAACCAAACATTACGCCTCCTCACCACCATTGCCAACCCCACCACGAAAACTATCATTGGCAAACCACCAACAAGATCACCCCAAAACTTTGACCAATCAGATCAAATCAGATTGGAGAAGGAAGAAACCACCCCAAAATTACTCCAAAACCATCGTCATCACGCAAAGGTGGATGAAGGCAGAAGGGTAGTTGAGGATGCAATTGGCTGATAGGGTGTTGGTGAGCATAGCTGGTCCTGGGCTGAGGCAATTGAGGCCTACACCTCAGGCCCAAAACCAAAGGAGGTCTAATTTTGGTCATTTATTTATTTATTTAAAGGTTTAGGGAGTTAAAGGAAATTTTGGCTTTTCATTCATTTTCCCTCCTGCCTATGACAGTGCGATGGACGAACCATTTTAATTTCATCAATTTTGGGATTGCTCTAAAGTCTGGATTTCATTTTAATTTTGTATTGTTTCTGTAAATTTTTGATGCTCAAATTTTTGCGTAAATAATCGAAATTGTTATTGTATTTGCAAAATGGAAAAAGGGAATTTGTCCAACATATTTTGATCCAAGAATGTGTGTCCTATTTGGACCTGCAACATCTGATATCTATTTACTATTTAGCGTCCCTAAGTGGCATAAAGCGACAATAGGGTATTGTATAATGATGAAATTTTTATTTCATGCTTACAAGTTGTGACGGTGGAATTCGCAAGAGTGTGATTCCATGATTTAAGTCAAAATTCTACTTCTCAGATCAACAATGACTTGCTCTAACTTGTTATTGAATATGTTGGAAATGTTTGAAGCCTTGTTGGCTTATAGTGGTCTGGTCAGCTTATATGATTGGTTATTATATGATCAAAAATTGCACAACGCACGTAATAACTATATTGCAAACTCTAATTGTGAGATTATTGGGATATTTAGTAATTTCTTTTAGGTTAATCATTGGGCATTATGTAACATTTCGAAATTTAAAAAAATAAATAAATTATTATATTAATTTGAAAGTGAGGGCTTAAGGTGAAATAAATATTAATATATTATATATTTGGGGTCAAATAATTGGATTTTGATAAAGTAATGATATGGAAATCAATATTAGACTCATTTCGAAGGTCGTAATTAATTAGATGTCTATGACTCGAGAAAAGTTATTTTGGATAAGAACGTATTAGCTTATACCCAATTGAAAGAAAACAAGATAAATAGAATTTTATATAATTATAATCCTATTCTTTTCCTCTTTCTAGAAACAGGTAAGGTTTATATTAAATTATTAATATTTTTTATTGGTTTAATATTAATCCTTAGTATGATTAGGCTAAACTTTGGCGATTCAATCTAATTCTACTAATTAAACTCAACCTTATCCCAACTCATGGTACATGTTTTCTAGAATAACTCAACAACTTTTTATTACTATAAATATTAGACAAAGATCTCATATTTTACCACACCAAAAGTATTCACACGTGAAAGAGAGAGAAGAAAGAAAAAGAGAGAGAGAGAGAGAGAGAGAGAGAGAGAGAAAAACTTTGAAAATGTCAAATATTTTAATCACATACTTTCAAGGCGGAGAAAAGATTTTCAACGTATTTCAGATTTAAAAAAAAAAAAACAAGGCAAGATACATTTATGTGCAAAGTGTTTTAATTTTCCTTATGCTCTTATATACAATTAATATGCATGGATTACTAGTGGGTCTTCGAGTTCTAGAGAAAGAGATATGATATTTTTACGGGAATTTAAGAGGATCTAAAATGGGTGTGTCGCTTGATCGCCGATATATTCCATAAGAGAAGAGCAGTATGAAGTGTATAATTTATTTGTTATGTAATAGTGTATGGAAATTGCAAGTATCTTACTGAGTATTAAATACTCACTCTTACATTAATTTTACATGTTAGTTCGGATCGATTGGAACAGTGGCGAATTGGTGATGCGGGCTGTCAAGTGGATAAAAAATAGAGAAAAAGAAATAAGTTTGCCGTTTTTAAAATTTATTAGTTAGTTTAATTTATTCAGAATGTGTTATTTGAATTTGCTAAGAGTTTATATTTAGATACGATTTTTATGTTTTCAAATTTAGATTTATAAACATTACAGTTATTATTTACTAAAGAATTCTGTTTTTATATTTCCGCATTTAACTTAACGAAAAGTGAGTTTTTGGTAACGTTCCGATATTTATAGAAAAATTGGGGTGTTACAGTATGGTATCAGAGCATGGTTTCACCTTCCTGTAGACTTAAAAAAAATTAAAAATCACATGAACAGTACAGAAAATTTGATTTATGGAGCCACTTTAATTTTTTTTTATTTCACAGTAAATTGACCATTTGGTTATTGGCATCTGACATTTTGCATAGTATATTCATTTATACGTCCTTTGTTGATTCCCACAGTGATTATATAAGGTATGAATTTTTTAATATTTTTTTTAGACATCTTACCTATGAATTGATATTTCAAAACACTCATTCATGTTGTACTTATATATTATCAATTAGTATGTGCATGTGTTTATCTATGTCTCAGTATGCGTGTTAATGTTAAAAAAAATCATATTTTAATAAATTTCTTTTTCCCACTTATTGTTTCGAGTTTCTTTGATTTGCGTATTCACAAGACTAAAAAATTTTGTCAAAAGGACCTAAACTGTCTAAGGCGAGTTTGGGATTTAAGCGGTCCGTTTGTGACCCCCCTCCTTACTTGGAAGTCTTTTCAGTTACTTGTTATTCAAATCATTAAGATGGAGAACAATAATTCCAAGAAAATTCTATTTTTTTTTAAGATTTTGTAAAATGAAAAAAAAAATCACTATTCACCTGAACAGTACAGCAATGTTTTTAAAAAATAAAAAAATAAAAAATTATACATACATACATATATATATATATATATATTTTAGTGAATGTTTATCCGTGAACAATGATAATAAAGAAAATGGTATGCTGTTCACGTGAAGTGTTCAATACTTTTCATGCAAAAAAAATAGTTTTGCTTTCTTATTTCATACATTTGTTTAATGTTAAAGATTTGTGTAAAATTTATTCTAAATAATGAACTTACATAGTTATCATTAGAAACTTTTATGACGTTCCAATTTTAGAAAATTTTTAAACAAATAAAATCAAAGTATTTTTATGTTGTAATGATATAAAGAATACTTGGCATGTGGCGCTCACCATTCGACTACTCTCCAATTGATCCCAAGTATGAAATGTAATGTCATGTTTTTAAACATTGCAGCACATTATAAAATGTATAAGCATAGTCACCTCGCATAGTTTATTTGTCACTTTACCATACCATCATTTATGCACTGAGAACAAAATAATATTGATAATACCAAATTAAGCATAATTGAAATATACTTGGTCATGTGATTAGGATGACTAGAAATAGCCCAACGTACCTCCAGCGTGCTGAAATGACCATTGAGAACTACATAAATTATGAAGTGAGATGGGAGCGAACTTTTATTGAATATGTTCAAGATTTCCTTTATAAGTGGGAGCGATCAAGGTCGTTTGGATATAACGAGGGGACAATCCTTTCGAGATATCGCCTTATAAGCACTATGCGACCTCAATGGAGAGACGTGGCTTATTTCGTGAGGGACATGGACTATGATTTATATTTGGAAGAAGATTGAGATAAGATTGATTTTAAAGGATACTGTGAAGATATCATAATTTTATGGAACCATAGACAACAAGCACCAGCGCCCAAGCTCAAACTCGAATCGGAGCCAGAGCCAGAGCCGGAGGAAGACCCAGAGGAGGAGATCGAACCAGAGCTGGAAGACCCTGAGCAAGAAGTCCAACCACAAAATTTCATTGATTTGGTTATGGATTCCGAGCCCGAATCATGCATTACTTCGGATGATGAAACAGCATAAAGAAAAAGATTCTAGATTAGGGATAATTGTTACTTATTTGCTTAGGAAAAGTTTGATTATTTATTTATTTATTTGATTTTTTTTTGAAGAGCAAATTTGCTATATGTAAGGATTTGGAAATTATATTAAAATTATTCGTTATTACAAAGATTATTAATAATATTAGAGTGTTTTACCAATTTTTCCTAAATTAAAATTTTATTTGTGTTAAGAAAATGTTGGGACAACAACAAAATCAAGCTACAATCATCAGAGATTTGCTAAGGGCGGTACAAGATTTGGGTAGGTAATAAGCACAGGGTGGTCCCCATGGTACAAACGCTAACAACACCAGCTCAATCGTGGAACAGTTTCGTCGCTACAAACCCCAACTTTCGATGGCAAGGCAGACCCACTAGCAGCTGAAGAATAGATAAGGGGAATGGAGCGAATCTTCAAACATCTATCTTGCACTAATGCTCAAAAGGTGTTATGTGCAGAATTTATGTTGGTTGACGCGGCAGGCCATTGGTGGGAGTCAGCATCTCGCACTAGAACAGAAGCACAACAACGTGCTCTGACTTGGACGCAATTTAAGGAGGAAGTGATGGGAAAATACTTCCCACAAGCCCTGAGGAATCGCAAGGAGACAGAATTCCTTCAACTCAAAAAGGGAAAGATGAAACTTGAAGATTATGAGAGAAAGTTCGAGCAACTCTCTAGGTACACACCACACCTAGTAGACATGGAGGTAAAGAAAGCAAGGAGGTTCGAATTGGGATTGCGCCCTATGATTGGTGGAATAATGGCATCCCACCAATTCACCACCTATAGTCGCGTTTTGCAAACTGCCCAAGTTATCTCAAATGGGTTGGAAATAGACCAAATTCCCCAGCAAGTGGCCGAGTTATCAGGAAAGAGGAAGTGGAATGGGCCCAATGAAGGGAAAGGAGAGGAACAGAACAAAATGGTTAACTTTGGATCAAATTTTGGACAAGTCATTGCACCTTGTCCAAAGTGCAATAAAATGCATAGTGGTGAATGTTTGTTTGGGAAGCATGTGTGCTATCGATGCGGTAAAACAGGGCATATTTTCAAAAATTGCAAAGAAGACCCCTTGAAGAAGAATGATGAACAAGAAAAGAAGGGAAAGACCCGAGTTTTTGCTTTAGCCCAGGAACGGACAACAGAAGACCCGAATGCAGGTAATTTCGAGGACGAAATTATTTTAAGGGGGGGTGAGATTGTAACATTCCGAAATTTAAAAAAAATAAATAAATTATTATATTATTTTGAAAGTGAGGGATTAAGGTGAAATAAATATTAATATATTATATATTTGGGGTCAAATAATTGGATTTTGATAAAGTAATGATATGGAAATCAATATTAGACTCATTTCGAAGGTCGTAATTAATTAGAAGTCTATGACTCGAGAAAAGTTATTTTGGATAAGAACGTATTAGCTTATACCCAATTGAAAGAAAACAAGATAAATAAAATTTTATATAATTATAATCCTATTCTTTTCCTCTTTCTAGAAACGGGTAAGGTTTATATTAAATTATTAATATTTTTTATTGGTTTAATATTAATCCTTAGTATGATTAGGCTAAACGTTGGCGATTCAATCTAATTCTACTAATTAAACTCAACCTTATCCCAACTCATGGTACATGTTTTCTAGAATAACTCAACAACTTTTTATTACTATAAATACTAGGCAAAGATCTCATATTTTACCACACCAAAAGTATTCACACGTGAACGAGAGAGAAGAAAGAAAAAGAGAGGGAGAAAAGGAAGAGAGAGAGAGAGAGAGAGAATAACTTTGAAAATGTCAAATATTTTAATCACATACTTTCAAGGCGGAGAAAAGATTTTCAACGTATTTCAGATATAAAAAAAAAAAAAAAACGAGGCAAGATACATTTATGTGCAAAGTGTTTTAATTTTCCTTATACTCTTATATACAATTAATATGCATGGATTACTAGTGGATCTTCGGGTTCTAGAGAAAGAGATATGATATTTTTACGGGAATTTAAGAGGACCTAAGATGGGTGTGTTGCTTGGTCGTCGATATACTCCATAAGAGAAGAGTGGTATGAAGTGTATAATTTATTTGTTATGTAATAGTGTATGAAAATTGCAAGTATCTTACTGGGTATTTTAAATACTCACCCTTACATTAATTTTACAGATTAGTTCAGGTCGATTGGAACAGTGGCGAATTGGTGATGCGGGCTGTCAAGTGGATAAAAAATAGAGAAAAAGAAATAAGTTTGCCATTTTTAAAATTTATCAGTTAGTTTAATTTATTCAGAATGTGTTATTTGAATTTGCTAAGAGTTTATATTTAGATACGATTTTTATGTTTTCAAATTTAGATTTATAAACATTACAGGTATTATTTACTAAAGAATTCTGTTTTTATATTTCTGCATTTAACTTAAGGAAAAGTGAGTTTTTGGTAACGTTCCGATATTTATAGAAAAATTGGGGCGTTACACATTAGGTTGCATAATATACCATTGAAATGATATATTTGTTTGTTATTTTAATCTTAAGTTTTAAGTTAGCAACAGGATGCAAGATATACCGTTGAATTTTGCATTTTTGTTAATTTCGTCGGGAGGGGCCCAATTTATGGATTTCGCCTCGGGTCTTGACGATCACAGGACCGGCCCTGCTAGTGAGGAGTCGACAAGAAATAGTATTAGGAGGCGTTACTATCTTTGGAAGATGATTTGCGTGTTTTGGTTGTTGACCAGTGAAGTGTGTGGCCGTTGCACATGTTTGTAGCAACGGACGGGTGTTGAAGATGGAGTAGGGTTTTGAGAGAGATTGAAAGTGATTGGAGAGGATGGCTCAAGAGATGAGAGAGAGAGAGAGAGAGAGAGAGTAATTTAATAATAATTTTTATTAACATAAAAATTTGAATTATAATCTGATTTTGAATAAATAACTGTTAAACATGATTTTGAAATTAAAAGTTGAAAATCATGTGTTGGGTGTAATTTCCACATTTTGCATGAGAGAAAAGTAGGGAACAATTCAAAAGTCAATGGTTAAGTATGACAAATTCAATTTTTTAGATGTCAAGTTTCAAAATGCGAAACTCAAATATTAGTTATTTAATTAAAAATATTTATTTATTAAATTTAATAATGCCACAATTAATAATCACATATACATAATTATAGATCACAACTTTTTTATTGGTCACATATTATCAAATTAATTGATCACAAATTATTTCGAGGCTACAAATCAAAAATTTTATAGGTCACAATTTATTTTTTTGGTCACAAATAAAAAAATAACAGGTCACAGTTTATTATCGATCACAGATTTTCAAATTTATTGGTTACAAATTATCGAATTTAAGGTCATAATTTAATAGTTAGTCGCAAAGAACCAATTTGCTGGTCACATACAGGAAACACCTCACCAATGATCCTAATCCACCATTAATACTTAGTCACAAATCAACCAAATAGTTGGGCACAATCACTATCCCGCCCCGCCACGACCACTGCCAACAACAAAAACACAGTCACCACCCACACAACACTACCACAACCACCGCCAACAACAAAAGTGACCACAACCCTATGACAGGTCTCTTCCGATGGTGACATCGTTGTGCAAGCGATTCAACATCCAAACCGTCAGATCCACCATCACAACTACCACTACAAAATCGCTGCCACACAAAACCGTCACCAACACTACACAAACACCATCCAAACACACCCTAACTGCCAGAGAAGATTTTAGCTACCGCTTCGTGTGCAGATTGTCACCATTGCGGTTTTGCTCGTAGAGGCTTCGATCTCTTCATTACAGCAACATCACAATGCTGCTTACGTGGTGGCAACGTTGAGTGCTTCGACGATGACGATGACGACGACGAACAAAGAGGAGGACAGAGGACTTGAGAGGGAGAAGAAGAAGATGGAGAGTGAGTGAGAAGAATGAAATGATAAGGTTTGTAATTGTATTGTATGGAAATATTTAATATTTAATTATTATGTTAATACTTGATTTGTACGTAATGAAACTTTAATCCTGATTTTTGAATTGTAATAGTTAAATAAGTGGCATTATGTAATTTCCTCGGGAAAGTAGTTGTAAAGCCCAATTGAAAGGCGGGCCTATCAAACGATAGCCCACGTCTGTTAATTCAAATTCCTCGAGCAAAGGGGGAAGAGCGGTTTTCTTTCTCGGTATGACACTAAAAATTGGGAATAGATTCATCACCCCCTCGGCACCAATTTATTTTGTGTTGCAGTGATTTGTACTCAACTTCTTCATCACCAAACTTGTAAGGTAGTATCGGATTTTATTACTGTTAAAACGGGATTTATAAGTTGAAGTCGACTCGATTTGTTTCTTGTGAATGGTTTAATTTGAACTCAACTCGTTATAATTTATTTTAATTTCCAAAATTGTTGTTCCTTGATGGTAATCTTCCTCTAGCAACAGTGATTTTTTCAACAATTTTTCTTTCGAATTTTTGATGCGGTTGTTTATGGTTTTCCCCTGCCATACTGGCTGCCGTAATAGGTGAAATACCGAGGACCAAAATCCAGTGGTGACTCCGCCCTCGACTGGTTGTTCTCTTGTTCTGAAAATGGGGAAACTGAGAATTTTTATTTTTACGAACGACTATTTTCGACCATTAGTTTTATACGCACTTGATAGTTATGTTTGGTTGCAATATTTTAATAGTTAGAAATTACATATATTCATGCAATCATTAAGTGTATGTATGCTGTGAATGCAATTGGAAAACATATTAGTCGGTTCCAAGTGCATAGGATTTGTCAAATTACTTCCTATATATATATATATATATATATATATATATATTTATTTATTTATTTATTTATTTTTATTTTTATTTTCCTGATCATTCACAAATTGAAAGCAGTCGCACAAAGGCAAATTCAGTGATCAAACTGAAACAAACCTATAAGTTGGTTTGCGATATCTAGAGCTTTTATTTGAAGTTAAGGACTAATGGTTTCAAGGTCTATGCTCGCTTGTATCCTACAAAAAGTATGAACACTGTGTTCTATGTCTATCTAAAATCAATTTTTTGTCTTAGCTTGGTTTCTATTAATGCTGTAGGTTTTCAATAATCAGATGGATGCCAAGGATATAGAATTAGATCTTCTAGCCCTACAAAGATTATATGGGCTTTTAAACGGAGATGGACAGTCAACAGCAACTAATGATAAGGTGTGCTTGCTAGCAAAATTTTTTCCCTGTGATAAATTAATTATTGAAGATGAGATATGATTTGTGTGCATGTCTGTGCATTTGGATATCATATCTAGTAGTTCATACTTTAGAATTTAAAGTTGATGATTTTACGTATATAATAAGGATATAACTAGGAGGTAATAAGCGTGGAAGTTTGCAAAAATATAATGCTTTTAGGAAGGTATTTTGAAAATTTTGTTGCTTGTTATTACCTTTAATACTTCAGTGGTATTTGTTGCTTTAAGTGCTTGTGGTCTCTTCGATAAGGCACTGTGCATTCTATCTTTGTTTCAATAAACATAAATGGCATATTTGGTACGTACTACTACTGGATAGTACTTGAGATTACAATGAACAAGATTTTAACTTGTGTTCTTTTTCAATATCATGTAGTCCACCTTACTTAACGGGCCAAAAGTTTACAGGGTCTAGTCAAGCTGTATGAAAATGGTACACCCTTTCCAACACTGATTGCTCGTATTCTTTTGATTTAGGGACAGTTGGATGAGCACGCACGACTCCTGTTAAAGAATTTATTGGATACAGAAGCTCAAAGAGTCTTTAAGGCACATTCAGAGGTATATCCTGTTTTTTCTTTATGCAGAGTTTTTGTGTATGCATCTAGTGTCCCATATAAGATGATTACTCTTTCCTGAAACGAATTTGGCATTTGAATATGATGAAGGCACATTTACTGGGAAGATCACAGTACATAAATATTAACTGATTAGCATATTCTCTGAACAACAATTTGTTGTGTGCTCTGCAGATAATAGCAGGTCAATTGCGTGTAATTGACATGAATAGAGAAAGAAATGGTAGTGTTTGTGCCAGTGGATCTGACTATAGAAAGAAACGTTGCAGGGTTTGTCAAGGAAGCACTTTAAAGCAGCTTAAACCTATTGAAGATACAAAATTTTATGATGACGAGACACAAAATCCAAAAGAAGTTGTCAACTTTCAGAATCAGCAGAAAAATCAATTCAATCATTTTCTTTGGGACAAAGAGCAGAGAATGGGATCGATGGTGCAGTATAAAGTTGATGAATCCTTAAACAGTGAAAATGAAAGGAAGATCGAAACTTATGACAGCAAATTGAATGGTGTAGAATCTACAGCTTTTTCATCTAACAGGGTGATTATTGGAGCTGATGAAATATGTAATTTTACCACAGAAATTTCAAAAGAACCCTTTGAGATTGATTATTTATCAAAAGAAGCTTCTGAAGCAATCAAACAAATTGAGTTGCGTATTTCAGCATTGCAACTAGGTGCCGAGCTTTCACAAAAAAAGGATTATGTTCAAGAAACCAAGTCGCCTGGTCCTGTTCTGCAGACAACTAATGGAGTTGTCCCACTTATTGAACTGAGTCGAGACAGAGAAAGTTTAGTTGCTGGAAATGACATCCAGTATAAACTTACAAGTCAAAGACTTGAGGATCCTTTCGAATCTCCATTCTACCAGGTGCCTATTAGGACGACAAATCAGCTAAAAGAGATGAAACTGCCAAATTTGATGTCAAGTCATCCTTCCAACATGGTTCAACGTCCTGATAGCATGTTGGGCCAATCAACATCTTCTGTAATAAGGAGCAGAGGCCCTACAATGGGACATGATACACTGGAGAAATTTGGCAAGTCCACTGAAGAACTTGAGAGCTTTACCAATTGGCCTGCCTATTTTTCGTCTCAGACTAAAAGGGAAAGTCCGTATCAAAACCAAATGTCAATGAAAGAGAGAATCAGTAAACACGAAACTTTCCAACCGTATATGCCATTCACAAGTGCCACAGATTTTGGGAAAAACTACAGAAATATTCAGTCAGTTGTTAGTGCACAAAAGGTTACCCAGCGGTTCCCACACAAGATTATGGGGTCAAATTCAATGGATAAGCCTGCCAAACTTTTATTGCCTTCGAGTTTTCATGAATATCAGTCAGACCAACATCATGATGGAGTTTCAACTAAAACTAAGTATAAGAGCCCACTGAGAAATATAGCTTCACGTCATCAAGAATTAGAGGGTACACCTTCAAGTTCTTACTCCTCAAACTGGATAAGTCGGCAAGCTAGCAGTCTTGGTAGTGAAAGTGAAGAGCGTTCGATCTCAGCTCCGAATAGAAGGATACGCTACATGAGTTCCGGTTCCACCAGTGATAGCACAGATTACTTTCCATCACACGACACTGAAAGCCATTACACCAGCTATACAAGCAATAGTGAGGACGAGGTTTACTCGTCCGACAGTAGTGCTGGAGCTGATCAAGTGACTTCAAGTAGTGGCCACAATAGTGTGGGGAACTCATTGTATGATCAGCCAATCCGTCATCACACGGGACCCTCATACTTGTCCATGAAGTCCATAACTAGAAGATCGGGTCCTACAAAGATCCGGAAATCAGCTCATAGGATAAGCCAAGAGGAACAGAGCGGAAAGTGGAAGAGATTTAAGGATAGGCTGGCGATTATCTTCCACCACCACCATCATCATCACCATTATGACGAAGGCAGTGATGATCAGAAAAAAATGAGCCACAGCAAACCTCTACAGAAGAACACGGGGAAAAACTTTCGTTCCAGGAGGGAAGCCGAGGCTTATGAGGAACAAGCTGTTGAAAAGCTCGGGAAATCTTTGATCCGCGACAGACCTGGTAAAAATCAACGCAAACATTTTCACGGGCTGATGGGAGGCCTACTTAGGCATGTCAAGCATTCAAAAAGGTCAAAACCAGCTACAGACAGCATTCCACAGTTAGGTAAAGGCCAGCATGGTGCGAAGAAGCCTTTAAAGAAATCGAATTGGTGGCAATTGCTGCAACACCACAGAGGATCGAAATTTCCCAACAAACCGCCACATGTGAAGCTTGGATTGAAGAAAAAGAAAGCCCATTTGAGAGTACCGAAGATAAAATGAGTTAAAACTTTTTTTTTATTTCTATTATCCTCTTATTTGTTGATTACAAGAATCAGATCACTTACAAAATGATATAATGTAATTGTGTTGAAGAAATTTGAAATAGCTTGTAGGAGAACAAGGATGTATGGTTACCTACATTCAATTTACATATCCTCACTTTTTTCCATCTTGAAATAGATTTCTCCCAAATTCTACTGTTGTTTTATTATTTCATTTCAAATTTCGATTGCTTGAAATACTTAGAAGGCTGCTTGACATATTTCTATTTACGTGTTAATTAGGTTGATGAGTTAGTTTATTTATTGCATCTCTACTCTTAAATTTTTGTCCATGCACGTTTGTCTTAAGTTTAGAAAGAAGGTTACAATCCGTCATAATGGTGGCCAAAACAAGATGCAACATGACCCTAACATCTTTAACGGTAAGCTACACATATTTTAGATGAAATTGATTTATCATACTCGATTGTGGAGTCATTTGTCAAAACAAATTGAATAAAACCACATAATATTTTTTTACAAACAAGTTACTGAAGTCCAGAGAGTTCGAAGTAATTTCCACAATAACCGAAAAAAATATTTTTGCCCACATTTTTTGAGGTACAGAATATAGATACACCCAAGGTGCAGCATATCATATCCCCATTTGGCCGATGTCTATTTGCTCTAGTGGTAAGGACATTGGCATTGCTGGCTGAGGTTCCGTGTTCGAGTCCTCTTACCAGCATGGTGGTACTGTGCCTCTCCAAAAAATCCCTCCATACGTGTAGGGCCAAGCGGTGTATACTAACCCGTAGGGCCAGGCCGGAGGTGGGGTTTCTGGAGTATGGGGCCGCAGTGCGGTGGGGCCAGTCACTTTAAAAAAGTTTACCCTACACAGTTTTAGCCCCCAGGGCATATCTCCCAGTGGCAAAGGGGAGGGCGGATAGGGCTCAGCGCGGCAGTGTGCAGAGTTCGATTCCCCGCAAGGTGGAATTGGCTTTGTTGCAAGCGGGAGTTACCATATGGGTTAACAGCCTTGGCCTATCCATGTGCTCTCCACCCTGGCTCCTGGAAGGCACATCCTGCGATTTACCTCCTCCACGATGGCCCAGGGCAGGGTCGGTTGGGGCCTTTAAGGTTGGGGTTCAACCCATATCCCCATTTGGTTACCGTTGGGAGCCTCTTGGAGCTGTCCACTTTGCATCTTCTTTATCCCAACCCAGTCTCTCTCCCACTCACAGTCACGGAACATGCATAGGAGCGAGGCACCTGAAGATTATTGAAGAGGATGACAATGGAGGGTGACTTGCCTCGACCGCTCACGATGATTTTGCTTCTTCCATTGTCTTCTTCTTCATCTTTCATCAGAGACGTCTCCTACAGGTTCTCTCTAAACCTCTCTAAATTCAAAATTTTGGATTTTAAGTTATGAAATCGTATCGTGAAAATGGCATTGCAATTTGCATATATACTTGTATATAGTCTGCTGTCTGCTATGCTTCTTGGTATCTTTGACCTGATGTTAGACGAACAAATTTGTTTAAACACGTTTATTTATTTGAATTGATTTCCATCCTCATAGTCTCGGAATCAAAAATCTTTTCAGTCGAAGTTGGTAATGTTTTTACCCAATTCGGATTCCTTAATGCCAAACACAGCGAATTCCACTGATAATTTGCTGAATTTGTAACTACTAGCAGAGTTAATCTTCATTGTGAAATTTAGAATTTTAATTTTCCAAGCTTACTGTTATCTACTGCTTTTTAACGGTTTCCCCCAAAAAATCCACAGTTCAAGGAAGAAATAGAATAATTTAAATCTAAACATTGCATAGTTGTGCTGCTGCGAAATATCAATTTAAATACCTCCTGTTCTAAAATTAGTACAATGAACTGTCTTATATAATGACAGATTCGGAACTGTGAATTGATTAGTAGCACATGTAACCTTGTTTCTTGAGAGGTAGAAATGGTGCCTGTGGTATATGATAATCCAGGGTACTTTTTGTGAGCTCAGTTTAGATCCACGTTATGTGTTCGTGTGAAACCCCGCAAGCGTACGAGTTCGTTGACAAGTCATAATTGTGATGAGTAAAGTATCGTCCTATAGGGAATAAGGATTAATTTTAGGATATTTGATAAATTTGAATTCGTGTTTGTGACTAAAACTATCGAATGAATAGTTAACGGATTTTAAAACTAAAATTTATAAAGGTAATGGAGGTTGATTTAAAACTCGAATATGTGAATGTACTGGATTTCAGACGCCATTGAGTAACGCTTAGTTCTAATTCTCAAGTAGTGTTAATTATCTCAATTTATGCAATTGCGACGATCGATAATTCCACAATTATTTATTATTCTTTTCCAAGATATAATAAACCTATGTTTACCACGAGACGATCATATTCCTAGTTCGAATTCATATGGCGAACATGCATTGACAATTAGGATTATCACTTATGATCGCACACGCCACAAATATTATTTCTAATATTTATTGCCCGTGTGTCCCAATAATAATGTTCTATCTATCGTGAGTTTTTCAACATTACGAAACAGCAACTTATTATCCTAATGGTGTGCAAACATTAAAACAATCTAGTTATGCATATTATTGGAATCACAACGCGATGATTAACATAAAAACATAGGTCTCGAATTAAAACTAAAAATTAAACAATTTTGTCATCATCCAATACATGAAAAGACTTAGCCTAACATAATGTTGAAATTAAAAACATAAAAGTTGGAAGATATCACCAAATAATTTGACGGAACGTGACTCATTTTTGTCAAAATAATTCTGCCGCTTTTTTCCAGTTCCAATTCCGCCCAAGCTGCCTGTTTTCTGTCAATATATGTTATTCAATTCAGCACCTGGCAATTGGACCCAAGCTGCAGCCGACTTTTCTTTTTTACAATTCAGTTTCTGGCCTTGCTTCGGCTTTATGTGAGAATTGTTTATATAAATCAATGTGTATCCCAGCAATTGATTCCCAGCAGCCTACTTCCTGCCACTTTTAATTCTCCAAAGCAGCTGGCAAATTACTTATTCAACCACTTCAATTCCCCAGCTCCAATCTGTTTCGGCTTTTTGTATGAATATATATATATATATAATTCCAGCCGTTTTTCTGCCGACTAAGATCTTCAATTAATCCCCGGCACTCTCTCTTTTTTTTTTTTGCTTTGGTTTTCTGTTTGTATTTTTATTTTCTTCAGCCCCCGGCTTCCTTTCTCTCCACTTTTCTTTTCTTTTGTTTCCTACTGGCCGTCCTTTCTTTTTTATTCCCTTGGCTCTCCTCTTATGAAAATTGATTTGCATGGTTTTTAATAGTAAAATCTAGGAAAATTTTCAGCTTTGGTCCCTGAAGTTTTTAAAATGACCCCCAATACTTAAAATGGCCCATAAGCGCCCAATTCACTGTAATTGGCCGCCAAATAAATGGCTTTTGTATCATTTGCAGCCAAGTCCCTCAATAATTGCATCTCAAATCCTCCACTTTTTGACTTGTATGCCTAGGCCTCCAACTTCCATCAATGGCCAATTTAATCCTCGTGTTTTGGATTTTGTCACTTTTCGCCAATTTTTGCTTCTTTCCTTTCCTTCTTCGTCCAAGCACGAGTTTTACCTAAGCAAATTAATACAATAAAATTTAGATTATATTTTGCCAAAAGAACAATAAAATTATATAGTTTAGAGTCCCAAATAAGTGTAGAAAATACACTTATCATTATGTAAATTTATGGAGCTCTGAAGTATGAGAATTAATTGAAACAGCAAGAATATTTCTTTTCAGCATTTTTTTCATGTTGTTTCCCCTTAATAGAAGCCAGACATGGTTGCTAAAATTCTAGTTGCTGGCCCCAACTTTATTATTTTCACTCAATTCCCAGCAGGTGATCTAAGGTTGAATTTTTCATTACTATCATTACCCTCTCTAGTTTAGTTGGACGTCACTAGTTGCAAGTTAATACATCAATGAACAAAGATTCTCAATTAATTGATTGCTTCAACCAAATGAACCGAACAAAATGCCGACAAAGAATTCATATAGGGAATCCTAAATTTATTGGTAACAAGCTTTAGTTTGTTGTTGTGTTCCCCTTCGAGGAAATGTTGCACGATTGAAACCTTACAACTGTTCAAAATGGGCTAGGTATAACCGGCTAATTATCCTTCATTGAAAAGTCAAATTTTCTCGAATAAGTGCTCGGACTTAACAAGGCAATTAGTGCTTTTGCTTTTTTTTTTATGCACTTGCTTTTTCTGATTTTTCAGAGTATTTTTTTTTACTCTCCATTAAGCTTTCTAGATGACCCATGTAGCAGGCTTTAGGCCGATGACTTCCAAGTCAGATGACTTTAGAGCATCAGGTTTTAAGACACCCTTACAGACTTAATAACCCGAGTCAAAAAGGCTTCGAAGAGAACAAATTTTTTTTTTTTAAGTGCAACTTCATCCCTGATTGCTTTCTAAATAACCTCTGTAACGAGCTTTAGGCCGATGACTCCCAAGTCAGATGACTTTAGGGCATCAGATTTTAAGATACCCTTGCACGCTTAATTACTCGAGTCATAAAAGCTTTAGAGAGAAGTTTTTAATTTCAACATATATGCCTTGATTAGTGCAATGCCCTTTATCATACATTTATTCAATCAAATCGACCTCCAACTCAAGACTTTTACCCAATTTTATCCTGTTAGTTTAAGACAATCCACACATAAGTTTTCACACATGGAATCCTTGCCCATATCCGTATCTTCCTACAATAGCAAAATCACCCCCAAACTGTTCTAAATTTGGTCTAAGGGTAAATAATTTGTATGGTATGGATAAAGCGTCTATGTTCAACTAAATCAACCTATAAAGCATATGAATCAACTTATTTCATCACAATGTCAACTCAATTTCAGTGCATATTTAATATCAAATTTTGCAAGTTCAAGCTGCAATCAGTCTAGCATGCTCCCTATCCACAGTTCATAAATTAACACCCAATCTCAAATTTAATCATCATTGTCAGCCAAATTGTCCAACCCACAAAAGCACACAAACAAACAAAAATAAAAAGTTAACTAATTTTATTATTATTATTTTTTTTAGTCTTTTAAACATATGAAAAACAACACACAAAAACATACGAAAACCAAAAACACAAAGTGTTTCCCACCCCCAAACG